GGGGGGGGGGGCACAGGGCTCAGTCGAGGGCCCTGGCGTATTTGAAGAGGGACATAGACCAGAAACAATTCTTCACACACCCTCTTATAAAGTTCGTTATGCAACTTATACAATCCTGATATGGCCTATATTTCATATTGTGTTTATGGCCACGGCCAAGCGAATGTTGAGAATGGCTGCTCTAGACTGTAGACTCTCCTGGGTCAGTGGGAAGGAGGGGAAGGAGGGAGCGGAACAGCACACATGCTGTCCTTAGTGCCACACGCTGCCCAAGACAACCACCTCGGTGCACCTCATGGTAGAGTTGCCCCTGCCCTTGTATTTGAGCCAACTTGCCAATGAGAACCTGTGAGGGGGTTGTGACAAACCCAGACCTACTGGGGTGCCAATGAGAACCTGTGAGGGGGTCACGTCAGGTAGAAGCAGGAGCAGCCACATCTGGAGGAAGGGAAGCAGCTAGATTAAGGGCAGCCGGAGGCGGAAGCTGTGGCAGGAATAAAAGGGCTGGAGCTGGAGAATTCAGAGTATTCCTCTGAGGAAGAGTAAGAGACATGGGGAGAGGCAGTAGAAGTATAGGATTCCATTTTCTGTGCTAACTCAGAGATGCAGAGTGAGACCAGAATCCTTGGAGCAGCCCTCTCCCTCCAAGTGCAATTTTTTTTGGTTGTGGAAGAGGCTGAGGTCCCGGGACCCCCTACGCTCCAGCCAGCCCACGAGTCCTATGCCACCACAACCTTGGTGTTCTTGCTGCCCAACGGGAGCCACTCCAGCTCTCCGGCTAGAAGAGCAAGTGCCAATGGGTGCCACAGAGGAGGCTCTGGGAAAAGCAACTCAGAGGACACAAGCCTCCCCTCACCAGGTTCTATCAACTGTTGCTAAAAGGACTGTGCCCTAATCCTATTGAAGTCAACTAGGGCCCCATACAGCACTTGGGGAGGGGGGTTCGGCTAAGTGTCAGAAACTAAATCCTGGGAGGGGGGCGGCTAAAGAGAAGAGGACAGTTGTTATAAGTTACCCCAATAAAAGTGGTTGCACGTCAAGATGCAAAGCTGGAATCCAGTGGTTCCCAACATAGCGTAACCCAGATGCTCGTGGACTGCAGTCCCAAAAAACCCAGCCAGCACAGCTAGTAGTGAAGCCTTCTGGGAACTGCAGTACAAGAACACCTCGGCCAGCACACAGCTAGTAGTGAAGCCTTCTGGGAAATGCAGTACAAGAACACCTGGATTACCCAGGAGTTTGAAACCATTGCTGGAATCCACGGAGTTATTGTCTGGGGACTCCCTGGCAGCTGGGCACCTGGGGATCAGGGCCAGCAGCACTCCACAGAAGCCCACTTTTACCTCCTAGTGACCAATCTAAAAACAAGCAAACAATCTAATTTGCAAACCACGGGAGAAGCAAAAGGCGTGTGCTGTGACAGTAAGACATCTTTCAGCACTTAAGGAGTTCCTTCTTCAACTTACAGGCTTTTTGCAATGCATAGTTTGACCCTGTGCAAGGAGCTGCAGCAAAACCCTACTCCCTGGATAGTAACGCAAGTGTTTGTAAGCATGTATTTCTTACTTCTGGCCATTTATGTTTGCATCTAAATATGTGTACTATTCGATCCGTTGTACTGGTATAATATAATGGAAAGAATAATGCTTCTCCACTGTATAGTTCCAGTTTGTCCATAAGCCTCTACTTTGGAGCAAGGTTCAAGGGCAGATAGAAACATTATGGAACATCTGCTACTGAGTTAAGTACTCCAGTGCATTATTTTATGTTATTCCTTTCTCAAAGGAAGTAGTGAAAGGTGCCCCCAGCAACCTTTCATGCACTGTAGCAATCCTGCAAGCCTGAAGTAGCTACTTAAAAGGTCTTTTTGAAATTTTGCATGACATTCCAGATGACCTACGATAGATTTATTATCATTCTACTTGAACTGTATACCCAGTTGAGCAAAACACCCTTCCTCTGCCCCTGAACGTTCTCACTTGTATCTAAGGTGTGATTTAGACACAATTATACTGATTCCAAAGAAGTGAAGATTTCAACAATATTTTTTCCTGTTTTAACTGGAAAGATAGAAAAAGATCCTGTGGGGATATTGATTAAACCCTATATCCACTTACTTTGGAAATGTGCCACAAAATTCAGCAGGACAAACTACCAAACAGACGTATAGGATTGAGCTATAAAGCTACAAACCTCTGTCTACTTATATGGATGTAAATCCTCTTGGTCTACTGGGGTGTCTAAGTGAATTTTCATAGGACTAACTAGCAAACTGTTCCTAGAATCATCAGGGTGGGAACCTTTGGCTTTCCAGATTTTTAGGCTATAATAGCCACCAACCTCATTGAGCACAGCCCCCAGTAAAGGATAGTGGGAACTGTAGTCCAAAACATCTGGAGGATTCCCCACCACTGCTCTAGTACAATTGTGAAATAAAGCCCACAGCAGGACTATGAACGCAACAGTTACATTAGAATTCAGTTCCTCTCATTGAGGTCTATGTGACAGAGTAAAAAAGAACAAAATCTAGCTTCAACTGAAAAGAAGCAAAACTTGCTTTTCACTCTAATAATGGGAGCACCAAGGGCAAGAGACAGTTGTGTGTCCAAACAAGCTCCCCATACAGTGAATTTCCACAGGGAAAACATGGGGGGGGGGACACTAGAAGTGGCAGGGAAGGCAAAAAGCCGGCTTGCCAAACCAGCACTTGGTCCAGCTATTATCAACAGGAAGTCTTGCCTGATGGAGTGGCCTTCCTTATTCCCCACAAAGCAGCACTCCATGTGGAAGTCAGCATGTTCCAGATGCTCCTCCTCACTAAACTATTTCATTCCTCTATTGATTTGAAAGGGACTAGAGCAGAGGTGTCAAACTCAATTTCATCTTGGGCCGCATCGGCATTAGGGTTGCCCTCAAAGAGCCGGTTGTATCTGTAAGACTATATAAATGTATCTATCATATTAAATATTAAATCCTCCTCATTCAGTTATTACTTTCTGACTATTTGCTGCTTGGAATGCTGGGATTAGAAGTCCCGCTGGGCGGATTCCCAGCATCCTTGTGGAGCATTATGGGTGACCGAGTCAGCGCCTGTGTATTGTATACAGCACAGCAGCAGGCAGCACTGTGAGGGCCATATGAAATGGCCTGATGGGCTGGATTCAGCCTGTGGGTCTCCACATGTGGGCTAGAGCTATTAAAAAAAAAAACAAAAAGTGTGCCGCTTATATATGATGATCTTGACTCAAGTGAATCTGTTCAGGTCCTAGTTTGGATTTAACATGAGCTGTCCGAGGTGCTGAATCTGTTTAGTGATACAGTTCAACATTTTGGATAGGTCTACAAAGTTCAGACTAACACTTAGAGGTCTCCCTTCTTAAATTGGAATCCCTGGTTTTGATTGGACTATGGAAGCTACTGCGATCAGTATCTGTGTCAGAGTTACTAAGCTGCAACTAGGGAAAATTCCTAACTTCCATTTCCAAAAATAATATTTTGCATGTCTTAAGGCAAAGGAGTAGTAAAGGAATGTCTGCATTCCATACCAGTCCTCTCTCTCTCTGTTCTGATCACTATGAAATATTCTACATAGGATCAGTCTGATGAATTGTGGAGAAAGGGACAAGACTTCAGTAATCTTCAATCCCATTCCTCTTTGGAAATTCATGATAAGCACTGGGCACACATTGTTCCTGTCTTTGCACGTATCGGAACAATGCCCTCTAGTAGCTACAGTACATGAAATCAAACTAAATGTGTGCCTGGAATTCAACAAAAGCCTCTGAAGGAGCAGTTTGAAAAATACTCAGTGTTTGTAACAGTCTTTTCTCCTGCTAAGAATTATGGGCACAAAGATTATGGAGAAAGCAGGTCATGAGCAAAGGTGAAGACAGATCTAACATTATAATCCAATGGAATAATTTTGAAAGTGTTGTCTCAAAAACACACACTTCCACAGAAGTCCACAGCAAGGTAGGAGGTGACAAAGGCAAGATGACCTGTAAATTTCTAGTATGTCAGCATGTCCATAAAAAGGTATGGTGGATGCCTATTGGCTATTGCCTGTGATGTCAAGGACTTACCTCTCCAGTCCTTGAAAAGTATTTTGAAGTATTTGTGGATTTTATTTTATTTTATTTTGTTAAGTGGGACTAAGACATATAAAAGAATTGATGGACATATTTTGGTTTGAAAAACAAGTTGAATAGCTCACACATGGGAGGGGCAAATTATGAGTTGACCCAGGCTTTGACTTTCAAGACATGTATTTGTGTAAGTGAGCTTGTGAAATAAAGCTCATATCATAAACATCTATTGTGACTTATATTAAGAATGTTATATCTATCTTCACCCAAAGAAGACAATATTCACAATGACATGGCCATAGTGGATAAGAAACATGAGATATAATATATACACACATATATTTCATTTTTTTCTGTACATGACACATCAATGCAAAAATACTCAATGGATTCATATATACATATGCATGTATATATCCACAATGTCTAAAATTTGTTGGCACCTTAAATATTCATTTAAGAAAGGTAAAAAGAATGTAACACTTACTCATCATACAATACTCCTTGCAAGCTTTATATGCACTAACTTATTACTCAAACAAATAATTTTTTTAAAAAAATCTATGAATAAAAAAATCTGCATGTTATTAGATTTACCATTAACAAATCTTAGCAATCTGAATGGTACATTCAAAGAAATCTGTGACTTTTTTTCCTGTGGATGTGACTTATACTTACTTGACAATTCCCTGCCTCCAAAGGAAAGCAAGTTAAAACATAATAGAGGTATTAACTCTTTCTTTCCGGCAACATAACAAGAATGTACGTATGTAAAAGCCATGAGTGGCATTCAGTCAAAAGAACAAGCACTATTAAATATTACAAATAGGCCTAAAACATTTTGGAGAGGTAAAGCATCAGGAAACTCAGTCTCGTGCTTTGGCACTGCAGAAGGATCATAAAAACATAGAGCCAAAACAGACAAGATGGGCAGCTTTGCAATAAAGAGGTAACAAAATATTGGTCCTCCAGAGATCAAGCTCAAAACTGCTTGTTTGTCAGACTACCAGGCAAAGAGAGTCCATTGTTTCCTCTATAATGGCCAAACCAAAGCAAAGGGATTTGCAGCTGACATTGGAAGATAAGGTTGTAAATCTGTGAAAAAGATTAGTGGACGATCACATTGCCTTTATTGCTTGTCAGCTCCACTTCTGCTTACAAAGCTGCCTGGTTTCATTTGTTTTGGCTGTTGCTTCCTGTACCACCGAGGAAACTCTGTGACAGAATGAGCTACTAGTCTGATCTTTGGATCAGATCGCTTGTTAAGACAAAGGCTTTAGTTCCCCCTTGTACAATATTATTGCTCCAGGCAACAGAAAAATCTTCCAGTGCTATGTGCCTGAAACATTAGACATGGAAACAAAGCAATGCTATCCCCCAGTGACCTGTTATGAAACAAAAATAAGCTAATTGGCCAACTGTGGACGGAGGTGAGTTTGTGTTAGAATAAACAGACAGTCTTTCCTCCTGTGGGATGCACTGCTTCTAGACAGAGAATCAGCCTGTGAGAATCAGATTCATGAGGGCATCTGTTTCTGGCAGGGCCACACAGGATCACTAGTGAGAGAGAGGTCCTGCATTTTGCTGTGCCATCAGGGTATTGACTAGTCTTATACAACTGTAGCGTAGTTGCTGTTCATCAACGTGATCAGCTTATTGCTGGAAAAAAACTACAGTCTCCTGTGACATTCCATTAGCCCAGATCGCTCTGTTTAGGAACCTGAGTGCCTACTTGATGTATCTGCTTCTTTGGTGAATGTGACTTTTGCTTAATTTTGGTGCATGTGACCTTTGCTGGACATTGATTTGACACTGATCTACATTGTCTCTAGCTCCTTCTACTGAGCATTTTGTTTCTCATACTGGATAATCAGACACCTAGGAACGCCATGTGCAAGAAATGCAGATTTCAACAGCACCATCAATTTTGCATCCCCTAGCAACTGTGTACTGCATAATACTGGAAGTAATGTGTATATATATACATGAGACTTTAAAGAGAAAAAGACTCTTAATGGCTACTGATTTTATATATATATAATCAGTAGCCATTAAGAGTCTTTTTCTCTTTAAAGTCTCATGTAGAAGACCGTTACTACATCTTATAGTAGCAAACAACAACAACAATAACAATCTTAGAACTACAGAGCTGGAAGGGCCCCTATGATCATATGAGGCAAATGTTCCCTAGTTATATCCCTGTTAGATTGTGGTAGAAATTGCCAATCACATGACACATGGCCATTATCGAATCGTTTACCTGGCCAGCAGTGTAACTGCAGTTTATTGACTGCTCACTGGGAGGCTTCTATTATCTGTTCTGATGGCATATTGATATATTCCTTAGCAGTATGACATGTGTGCATGACCCTGTCGATTCCCTCCCCCAAAGCCAAGTCACTGAGGAAGGCAGCTACCATTATTGCCACACAGCTCCCCTGTTTTATATATATTTTATATATATTACAAAATTCACGGCTGGTATGTCAATACGTATGTAAACCTATGTTAACGGCCAGGTATGCCAGGGCATTGGTAGGTGTTGCATCACTCCATCTGTCTGGCAAACAACACAACTCTGGATGGGGATGCTGGGCCCATTGAGTGCAATGCAATTCTTCCAGAGGTTCCAGCACAACAGAGGAAATTTTATTGAATAGGAACCCCTTCCCAGCATGTATTGGTAAAATTCATTCATTCATTCATTCATTCATTCATTCATTCATTCATTCATTCATTTTCTTTCTTTCTTTCTAAACCAAAGCTAGGGGCTGCAGTAACCCAGAAAACAAGAAAGAGAATAAATCAGTACCACAGTGTAGCTGGCTATAACAATTCAGTACTGTAACGTTAAAACACATTGGAACGATCATCATGATCATTCCAATGTGTATATATATCATGTGACCATGATTAGGTCCAACAGAGATATAGAAAGTATCATTACAAGTGGGGAACATTTGCCTCGTGTGATCAGACTCCCAGTTTGAGAGGTGCCCTCTAAAAAAACTAATCAGCAGCAAGACTACCCATCCAATGATTCATTGGGAATCCCAGGGAGTCTTGCCACTCCCAGAAAGCACCACGTCAATTTCCTCTTTCTTTAAAGCAAAATAATGGATGGAGAGAGCATTCTCTCCCCACCCCTCACCCCTGCCAGATGTTATTCGCTTCTCTGGCCTTTCTTGCCTGTTGTTGTTGTATTATCATTTTCTTTTAAGAAGAAAGGTGCTGTGGCTACTCCCTGGCAGCTGCAGTTCTTCAGGAGGTGTCCTCTCTACAGAGCCTAGTGGGCAGCAAGATTATGACTCCCAGCATCCTCTGGAAACAGAAGGACCTGGCCTTGTGATTAAGAGGATCTGGCCTTTGCTAGTCGGTCATGTGACAGTACAGGTGGTTGATTTCCTGGGTATGGCAGATGCTGGGAGCTGCAGTCTCGCTGACCATTGGGCTTTGTAGAAAGTGTTTAAAAATTTAAGAACAGGATGCAAAGGCTGGAGAAGCTGATGCAGTGTCAGAGGCAAGCCCTTCTCTGAGCATGTATATATGGGAAATCTAGGGGGTCTGCCTGACTGCGGGCAAAAATTGCAGAACTTTGCTGGGGGGATCCTTAGGGTTGGGGTCCAAAAACAGAAAAGAGTAAACGTCTAGTTTGGACTTTGGTGGACTCAACGTCCCACTGATACTGGAGCCCCAAACCTGGGCAGTCCCTTAGTTCACACTGGCAAACTGGAGACATTTCCAGAGCAACCCCGAATGAGCGGTTAGTTCTATTTTTTTCTACAGATGTAAGATTCCTAGGGGCTTTTTACACTTGGATGTTATGCACATGGCACGGCTGAGCTGCCATGCCAATTAACTGCATAAAAACAAAGAGCCAGACCATCTCCCTGCACCAGCTGGTTGGCTGCCTCATCTGTTAGCAATAAGCCACCCAAAGAGAACTGTATGGCACATTTATTTTTAATGTAATGGGAAAGGTTAATGATGTTTGATGAATGGGATAACTAGCTGACAGGAAATTGATTATGTTTAGGAGCACATTTTTCCTAGTTTTCATCAAGGTAGAAAAACAAAGCTGTGTAAAGTGTGGTTTAGTTAGCGCCTCTCGTGTTGCCAACGTATCTTTTCATATCCGCCATCCCCAGGAGTGTTCCTGCCAATTTATTTTTGTTTTACTTGTTAAATGTGTGCGGTTTTTAAAATAGCTGAAGGACAAGCATCCATGGAAGCAAATCTCCATGGCGCTGAGGTCTGTTACAAAGAAGTCCATTTGGACCGATTGACGGACTGCATTTTTATACCACCCTACTTAATGGAAATCTACTCCTATGGGCGGTCTTGCAACACAACATAAACCTTTCCCATTCCATCTCACCTTCGAACCGGTAAAAGTAAACACATAAGGAAAAGAAGTAAACAAAGAAACCAATAACATTCCTAACAAATAAATGGCCTAAGGGGGGGGAAAGGGACGGCGATAATCCTCTGTAGCAAAGATGAGATTGTGGGTACCATGGTTAGCTGAAGAGAAGATGTCTCTAAAGACTTCTTTAAAAAGTTTGGTTTTAAGTAGTTTCTTAAAGGGGTTGGAGGGAGAATGCCTGCTGGATCTCCAAAGGGAAACTTCCAGATACTGAGGCCACCACCAAGAAGGCCCAAACCCTCGTAGAAGTCCTCCTCGCCTCTCTTGGCACGGCCACCTGCAACATGGCCTGGGAGGATCAGGTAAAACAGGCCGCAGTTCTCTGGGAGAGACACTCTGACAGGTCCCAAACTGTTAAAGGTTTTATAGGTTAAAACTATAAATTTGAACCTGGTTCTGAAGTGTTAATAAAGTATCCGCAAAGGCTTTCACGGCCGGGATCTAATGGTTGTTGTGGGTTTTTTTGGGCTGTTTGGCCGTGTTCTGAAGGTTGTTCTTCCTAACGTTTCGCCAGTCTCTGTGGCTGGCATCTTCAGAGGACAGCACTCTGTGCTCTGTTAATAAAGTGATTCTGAAGTGTTAATGAAGTGTTTCCCGGCCCTCCAGAGGCTGAACTCTAACTGCTATTAGCTATGAGCAGCTTGAACAATGGTGCGACATGAAGTATTTCGTTGGCATTTTCAGGACCCCCAAAACTGAACATTTAGAGGAATATGGGATTGGAGGTGGTTAAACAATCTGAGCTCTAATTTTTATTTCCTGCCTAAATTGGTGGACATCTAGGGTTCTCTGCAAAATATTTCTTTTGCCTGGCTGTTGTGGATTTAGAACTGGCAGAGCATTCTTTTCCAATATGCTATGCTGGCAAAATTTTGTGAATTTAAAAAGAAACTTAGATCAATAATACATGAGTAGCCTTCAACTGCGTGGGGGTGTTGCACTGCATCAGATGAATATATTAGCTTCCTCTTCTGCACAAGGGGTTTGTTTAAGACCGATTTTTATTCTCTTTATAATCTCCAGTGTGCTTTGAGTGTGCAAAGAGTAAAGAAGAATGGAGAGGAAGAAAGACATGATGTATAAAGAGTAGACAACACCCTCAGAAAGGATAGAACACAGAACAAAAATTCCAAATTATGCTGTCTGAACACATCACTAGCTTATATTTATTACATGCACTAATAAAACTTCCTTTTTGCTCAAGAAGAGCTTCAACTGAACTGAAAGCATCAAGGAAGTGCAGCTGATGACAGCTCAACGTGGAGGG